AACTGACGTGGCAAAACTTCATTGTTGTCTTGTTTTAAGAAATTGCTGCTGGCACAGTGGATCATGCCTGTAATCCTAGTACTTTGGGAGACTGAGGCAAGAGGATCACTTGAGACTAGGAGTTCAAGATCAACCTGAGCAACATAACATGATCCCATCTTTACAAAAACAGATTTTTGTTTTAATTAGTTGGCATGATGGTGCACCTGTAGTTCTAGCTACTCGGGAGGCTAAGCCGGGAGGATTGCTTGAGAAGGAAGCAGTCTTTCTGGAGGATTGCTCCAGAAGTCAAGGTTGCAGTGAGCTATGATTGCACCACTGCACTCCAGCCTGGGTGACAGAACGAGACTCTATTTCAAAAAAAACGAAAAGAAGGAGAGAGAGAAAGAGAGGAAGGAAAGGAAAGGAAAGGAAGGGGAGGGAAAGGGATTGCCACAGCCTCTCAACCTTCAGCAGCCAACACCCTGATCAGTCAGCAGGCATCAATATGGAGGCAAGACCCTCCACCAGCAAAATGGTTATGACCCACTGAAGGCTCAGTTGACTGTTAGCATTTTTTAGTAATAAAGTATTTTAAAATTAAGGTATGTACATTTGATTTTTTTAGATGTGTTATTGCTAAAAAAAATAGACTTTAATAGACTATGGTACGTTGTAAACATAACTTTTATATGTACTAGGAAACCAAAATATTTGTGTGACTTGCTTTATTGCATTATTCACTTTATTATAGTGATTTGGAACCAAGCCTGCAATAGCTCTGAGGTATGCGTGTAATTCACTGGGCCCTGGGTAGAGCACTCAGCAGGATTTTGTCTCAGTAGCAGGGAAAAATCAACCCTGCACTGAGCAGTGGCTTCAGACCTTCCTAATAATTCATAAAAGCAGGACCCCAAAGGATCAAACTGTTTTCTGGTAACTTAACTGCTTTCCAGAACAAAGCATAAGAATATTTATAGGAATACCAAAATATTTAGCACCCAGCAAGGTAAAATTCATAGTGTCTGGCATCCAGAGATCATCAGACTTTAAAAAAGCAGGAAAACACAATTGATAATGAGGTAATCAGTCTTCAAAATTGGCCTAGAATTGACAGAAATATTAGAACACAAGGACATTAAAACAGTTATTATAACTGCATTTCATGTGTTCAAGAGGCTAGAGAAAAGACTGAGTCATAGAATATATAAAAAGAGACCCACAACTGGGTGCAGTGCCGTGTGCCTGTAGTCTCAGCCATTCAGGAGGCTGAGGCAGGAGGATCACTTGCACCCAAGAGTTCAAGGCCAGCCTGGGCAACATAGCAAGACCGCTGTCTCAAAAACAAAACAAAACAAAAATTCAAACTTCTAGAGATGAAAACTACAGCGTCTAAGATGAGAAATACACTGGATAATAATGAATGTAATAATTGAGAATTTTTTTAAGAGGAAATATATACTAGATGAGATTAATGACAGATTGGATAATGCCAAAGAAAAGATTAGTGAATTTGAAGCCATAGCATTAGAAACTATCCAAGGTGAAGTGCAGAGAAAATAAAGAATCCAAAGTCATAGTCATGAGGACAGCATAAAGACATTTCATGTCTTTTTGTTTTGTTTTGTTTTCCTTTTTGTGGAGAACAGGCTCTCTCTTATTGCCCAGGTGGGTCTTGGACTCCTGGGCTCATACTGTCCTCCTGCTTCTGCCTCCCTGAGGGCTGGGATTACAGGTGTGAGAAAAGTTTGCTTTGCATTAATCTTTTTTTTTTCTTTCTTTTTTGAGACGGAGTCTCACTCTGTCACCCAGGCTGGAGAGCAAAGGCACGATCTTGGCTCACTGCAACCTCCGCCTCCTGGGTTCAAGTGATTCTCCTGCCTCAGCCTCCCAAGTAGATGAGATTACAAGTGTGTGCTACCACACCTGGCTAATTTTTGTATTTTTAGTAGCGAGGGGTTTCACCATGTTGGCCAGGCTGGTCTTGAACTCCTGACCTCAGGTGATCTGCCCGCCTCAGCCTCCCAAATTGCTGGGATTACAAGCATGAGCCACTGTGCCCAGCCTGCATTAATCCTTTCTTAGCTATTGGATAACGTGTTTCACCAAACAAGGTAGTTAACCAAGAAAGAGGAGACAAGTAAACCACAGAGCCAAATCCATCAACTGAGAGCTCCAGGATGATATCAAAGAATGTGAATGTCCAGCCAGAATGAGGTAGAAGAAGAAAGGGAATTTGATAAGAGTTTCTGATATGTTTAAATCAGTAGTTCTCAATCGGGGTGAATTTGTCTTCTCCTTCCCCGTAGGCATTTGACAATGTTTGGAAATATTTTTGGTTTGCATTGTGTGGGGGAGGTGTTATAGGCAGCTAGTGAGGGCCTGCAATGCACAGGGCAACCCCACAGAACAAAGAAATATCAAGCCCAAAATGAAAATAGTGTTACTGTTGAGACACCCTGGAGTAGGCAAATTGGATGGGGCTGTTAGAAAAAAACAGAACTGATTTGTAAAAAAAAGTATACAGGTGAAAAAAGAAGCTGTTAGTACTTCTGAGAATAATAATAAAGCAAATTGGAATGTAAAATGTACTTAGCCTGCAGTAAATAATATTTACATGGTTTTAACATTGTAAACAATAATTATTAATAAACCAAGTGACAGCAACGCAAGATGACAGCCATGACGGGCTCACTAGTAAAAGTCCCTTGCAATTTCTGACTGTTGGAAGAACTTGAAGAAAGCCAGAAAGGAGTAGGAGATGACACAGTTAGCTGGGGTCTAGAAGATTACGAAGACATGACACTTACAACATGGACAGGGATGATAATTGGGCCTCCAAGAACAATTTATGAAAACCGAATATATAGCCTTAAAATAGAATATGGACCTAAATACTCAGAAACACCCACCCTTGTAAGATTTGTAACAAAAAATTAATATGAATGGAGTTAATAGTTTTAATGGAGGGGTGGACGCAAGAGCCATATCAGTGCTATCAAAATGGCAGAATTCATATAGCATCAAAGTTGTCCTGCAAGAGCTTCGGCACCTAGTGATGTCTAAAGAAAATATGAAACTCCCTCAGCCACCTGAAGGACAGTGTTAGAGCAATTAATCAAAAAGAAAAACCACAGCCCTTCCCCTTTCCCCCAACATTGAATTTAAGCAGTCTTCATTTTTCACAGTAGTAAATTTTCTAGATGTCTTGTAGACCTCGGAGTACTGGAAAGGAAGCTCCCATTCAAAGGAAATTAAGATACTGTAAATGATACTAATTTTTTATCCATTTGAAATATGTAAGTTGTGCTATAACAAATCATCCTGTCAGGTGTAGCCACTGTGCACGTAGTTGAACTTCTGGGATCAAGAAAGTCTGTTTAAATTGATTCCCATCATAACTGGTGGGGCACATCTAACTCAACTGTGAAAAGACACATCACACAATCACCTTGCTGCTGATTACATGGCCTGGGGTCTCTGCCTTTTCCCCTTGTCCTCCCACCTCCCACTTTCCCTGCAACAACAGCCCTCTAGCCTGGAGGGCTTGTTAGAGTAGATGTGAAGGCTTCAGCCTGTGGGACTACTGCTGGGTATGTGGGGTGCTTTGCCTGCACTCCTGGTTTCTTTTTTTTTTTTTTTTTAATTTCTTTATTATTATTATACTTTAAGTTGTAGGGTACATGTGCATAACGTGCAGGTTTGTTACATATGTATACTTGTGCCATGTTGGTGTGCCGCACCCATCAACTCGTCATTTACATCAGGTATAACTCCCAATGCAATCCCTCCCCCCTCCCCCCTCCCCATGATAGGCCCCGGTGTGTGATGTTCCCCTTCCTGGTTTCTTAAAGTCTTAAATGATGCCCCTTCCAAGCCATCATCCTTTCCCCCACACTCCTTCGCTTCCGCCTTTGGCCAAAGCATAGATTGTAACCCCTCTACTCCCCTCTGAGATTGGCCTTTGGTGAGGAATTCAGAGCTTTCCCCATATCTTCTCTCCCCCACCTTTATCAAGGGGTGCTGCTTTTTATTCCGTCCTCCTCAGGTTGCTTTTTGCACCATCACCACCTAACACCTTCCATGACACTTCCTTGCTTTGGCCAGAAGCCATCCGGTAAGGTTGGAACATCTTTGACCTCCCTTTGTTTAGTTTTGGAACCGTACTTACTCACTCTCCACCATCCTGGGAAATGAGTATTGGGTCCTCAGCCCTGGCACTCTCTGCTGTCATCGGCTAATGCATTGTTTTTAACTCAGATTTTGATAAGGTGAAAATAAATAGTCACCAGGGTTACTCAGACCTGCCAACTCTCAGAGTCCTTGGTGGTTAAACTTGGAGAAGGGCCACATGAAGACACTTGGAAGCACACATGATCCCTCTGAATTGTTTTACTTTCCTGTAATTGCTTTTGCTTTTAAAAATCGAAGTTTTAAACAGGGCTTTCATTTGGTCATCCTTGCAATCCACTGGGGTCTAGTTTGGAATCTGACAACTGGAACAAAAAGAACCCTGAATCCGGTGCATGCCTTGGTTTTAGTACTGCTGCTGCTTCTCAAGATCCTCAGCAGGGATTAAGAAAGAACCAGGTGTGCACAGCAGATCCCTGAAATTGGCAGGCTTGACCTCCTGGCAAATTGCTTCGTCTTTCCACTTACTGTTCAGGACCACTAAATGCTGATGCATACCAAAATAAAAGCAATTCATTGTGTAAAAAAATTATTAATAAGCCAAAAAAGTCATTTTATGGTTTTAAATGATGTTAGGATATGTGTGTGTAAACAGTTTGGGGGCCGGGCACGGTGGCTCATGCTTGTAATCCCAGCACTTTGGTAGGCTGAGATGGGTGGATTGCTTGAGCCTGAGAGTTTGAGAAAGAAACAGTTTGGGAATAGGAATGGATGTAGAAGAACTACATCTTTGCCAGAAGTCAATATTTAGTTTCTAAAGGAAATGAAGTGAGTTCTAAGTGGTGGTTTCGTTTTTTAAAAAATTATTTTTTGAAAATGTGGAATGCTTTATGAATTTACATGTCATCCTTGGAATTTGCATGTCCTCCTTGCACAGGGGCCATGGTAATCTCTGTATCCTTCCAATTTTAATATATGTGCCTAAGTGTTTGCTTATGAGGAGTGAGACTAGTCAGGGTTTGTGAAAGGTTGGAGTCGGGGATTACCATTTTTTATTATAAGCCTTTTGTACCATTTGATTTTTAAAGCATGGACATGGATTTTTTGATTAAAATTTTATTTAAAACAAAGGCAAAAAATACACAATATACAAGTCTATATGTGCGTGTGTGTGTATAAGTATATATGTGCCCATTATTGAAGATAATCGGTACCAAAGTTTCTGAAAAAATAGTTTCCTTGTATCGGAAAACATTATATGTATAGGTACTAATATAATTGATAAAATTTTGATTTATTCTATTCACACTAGTTTACACCAAAAGAGTCATTTCTGAACATCAGAAAATAATTCTGATTGTCCTAATGATATTGACTTAATTATTTCAATGTTTTTGCTCTCTTGCAGTTGCAGGATGTGAGTTTGAATCTATGGAATGTCTACAGCAAGATGGATCCTATGTCTCTGGAGAGTTTGCTTTCAGATGTAAGGAGCCAAACAGTTAACTTTTAAATATTAGTATACGTCCAGCTCAGTGACCTGCTAGTGATCTTTAATTTGAAGAAATGCAAAGTATACTTTAGTTTGCCTTAGTCAAAAAATAGAGCAGTTTCTTTCTTGATTATTGTCTTGAATTCCTTGGGGTTATAAAGGAGCCTGGCAAGTGACACTGCTCCCTCTTCCACTCTGAGGTAATCTCACTCGAGGCAAAACCAGGGCCTCCTGCCTGGCCTTAGGTTTAGGTTTTTACCTAAAGGTGTTCTTTCTGTTGGACTGGACTTTATAAAAACAATGCAGAAGGCTTTCTCTGGCATGAAAAGATAAAAAGATGAGATTATGGCTTAAAGGAATCAAGGATTAGAGCTGGGGGCAAACTTTTTCTGTGAAAGTCTAGTTAGTGATATTTTAGCCTTTGTGTGCCTTACGGTCTCAGTGGCAACTACTTGACAATGCCACAGTAGCATGAAAACAGCTCTAGACAGTCTTTAAACAAATGGGTATGTCTGTGTTCCCAGGAAACTATTTACAAAAATACATGGCCTGTCTATATCAGGATTGGGGGGAAATTTGCAATGAGGAGCAACAAACAGAACTAAAGCTTTAGGACTCTACTCTGGTTAGGCTGGTCAGTAGTGTCTCTCGGTGGCCGTAGATCGATATGCATGGTCATGGACTTAGAATTAGCCATTTCTTCAAGGAGCTTCAGTGCAATTAGCGAGGAACAATATTTAACAACCAAGATCTGGGCATTAGGTATGTTTCTTGCTTCTGTGGGGACATTGGTTTTAGGCCCTTTGAGTGGGCATGCTGAGAAAATAAAGTAAAAGAATCATAAGGAAAGGAAAAGATACAGTTTCAAAAATTGTATTTCCTTGAAAGCACAGAAGGTTTGAATCTATATATTGAAAAGTGCAGACCAGGCACAGTGGCTCACGCCTGGTGAGGAGGCTGAGGCAGGCGCATTACCTGAGGTCAGGAGTACAAGACCAGCCTGGCCAACATGGTGAAACCCCATTTCTACTAAAAATACAAAAATTAGCCAGGCACAATGATGCACTCCTGTAATCCCCACTACTCAGGAGGCTGAGGCAGGAGAATCGCTTGAATCCAGGAGGTGGAGGTTACAGTGAGCTGAGATCATGTCCCTATACTTCAGCCTGGGTGACAGAGCAAGACTCCATCTATAAAAAAGAAAAGAGGTCAGGTGCGGTGGCTCACACCTGTAGTCCCAGCACTTCAAGAGGCCAAGGCGGGTGGATCACGAGGTCAGGAGATGAAGACCATCCTGACTAAAAATACAAAAAATTAGTCAGGTGTGGTGGTGGGCACCTGTAGTCCCAGCTACTCGGGAGGCTGAGGTAGGAGAATGGCAGGAACCCGGGAGGCGGAGCTTGCAGTGAGCCGAGATCCACCACCACACTCCAGCCTGGGTGACAGAGCAAGACTCCGTCTGAAGAAAACAAAAAAGAAAAGGATATACCATGCCCCAGAGAAAATTGTCCAACAATGGTCAACACTGAGACATATTTTAATAAAGTTACTAGACTTCGCCCCAAGCCCTGAATCCCCCCAAAAAACAGTAAAATCCTTTGGCATCCAAGTACAGATAAACTAGAAAAATGCAGGATGGCCTTGAGTTTCTCCATAGCAGAAAAAAGATGAAGCAAAACACCTATAATAAAATCCTCAACAAAAACGTAACACCCACATTTTATTTTATTTATTTAAAATGTGTGTGTATGTGTGTGCGTGTGTGTGTGTGTGTGTGTGTGTGTGTGTGTATATATATATATATATATATATATTTAGAGACAGGGTCTTGCTGTGTTGCCCAAGTTGGAGTGCAGCAGTGATCATAGCTCACTACAGCCTTGAACTCCTGAGCTCAAGTGATTCTTGCACCTCAGCCTCCTGAGAAGCTGGGACTACAGACGTGCATCACCACACCTGGCTAATTTTTTATTTTTCTCTAGAGATCAGGTATTGCTGTGTTGCCCAGGGTGGTCTTGAATTGCTGGAACCTGGGTGGCAGAGGTTGCAGTGAGCCAAGATTGTGCCACTGCACTCCAGCCCAGGCAACAACAGCGAGATTCCATCTTTAAAAAAAAAAAAAAACCTGAAAAACTAAGTAATAAAGATATAAATAACAGCACAAAGTGAATTGAACAGTAAAAGATAAAGGTGGATGGGTGAGGAAGGAGGGAGTAGGAAAAAGAAGTACACTAATTTTATTATTGAACATGGTCAGAGATTAAGGAAATTGAGCATTAAGGTTTTTCTTTCTTTTTTTTTTTTTTTTGAGACAGAGTCTCGCTCTGTCACCCAGGCTGGATTGCAGTGGCACAATCTTGGCTCACTGCAAACTCCACCTCCCAGGTTCCCGGCATTCTCCTGCCTCTGCCTCCCGAGTAGCTGGGACTACAGGCGCCTGCCACCACGCCCAGCTATTTTTTTTTGTATTTTTAGTAGAGACCAAGTTTCACCGTGTTGTCCAGGATGGTGTCGATCTCCTGACCTCATAATCCGCCCGCCTCGGCCTCTCAAAGTGCTGGGATTATAGGCTTTAAACACCGCGCCCAGCCCGAGCATTAAGATTTTTACATTAGTTACAAGGTAAACACTAGCACTCAGTAATAATCTTTTGTTTTGTTTTGTTTTTGAGACAGAGTCTCACTCTGTTACCCAGGCTGGAGTGCAGTGGCGTGATCTTGGCTCACTGCACCCTCTACCCTATAGGTTCAAGCGATTCTCCTGCCTCAGCCTCCTGAGTAGCTGGGATTACAGGCACATGCCACCACACCGGGCTCATTTTATATTTTTACTGGAGATGGGGTTTTGCCATGTTGGCCAGGCTGGTCTTGAATTCCTGACCTCGAGTGATCTGTCCACCTTGGCCTCCCAAAGTGCTGGGATTACAGACCTGAGCCACCACGCCCGGCCTCAGTAATAATTTAAATAATGAAAACACTATATATCAGAGTATTTGAGAAACAGCTAACGGAGTGCTTATAAGAAATTTTTAATTGAAAATAAGTAGCCAAGTGAAGAAGGGGAGAAGAGTAAGGAAAGAATTCACTGCATGGAGAGCAGAAAATAATGAAATAGAACATAGGAAAGTGGTAGAACTCATACATAATGCCAGCACCGGTACTTTGAACCTGAGAATAATGAAATAGAGAAACCGTTAGCTTAATTGTGGTAGGTTATATATTTTTTTATAACTTTTTTTCCCCTTCATGCCCTTGTTGTAGTTGACAGTATTCTTTCCTTTACACTGTTGGCCCTGGTCATATGGAAGGTGATTGGTCATAACATGATATATCTGACCAGAGGCCTTTGGTGTTCTTGTGTAATTTTTCTTGCCCTCTTACACTCTTGCCATGAGAACTTTTCCCAGGTAGTTGCTGCTTTATGTGTCGGTCCTGAAATGACACACATAGAACAGACTGTAACAGCCCAGCTGAGCCGTAGCCAGCCTGGAGACCTGTAAGCAATAACCTGACTAATAAACTCATCTAACAAGAAAAAAAAAGGGAGAAAGCAGAAATTTCAAAAGAAGAAAAAAGAGGGCAGTGATAGAACAAGGAAGTTAAGAGTCATAAGAAAGTAATTGCGTCACTTCAATGCAAATACATTTGGTTAAAGGTTAATTAAAATAGGCCCCAGAATAGATAGAAAATCTAAAATAACTGATTTTAAAAAGGCAGAGAAATTACCAGGAACACATTTCATGAGTGAATTCTCCTAAAACCTTCAAATATAGTTTGAGAGCTATTTAAAAGTTCAGATCCAGCCAGGTTCTGAACTGAGTTCTGAATTCAGGCAGGATTAGTGGCTCACGCCTGTAATCGCAGCACTTTGGGAGGCCGAGGCAAGTGGATCACCTGAGGTCAGGAGTTCGAGACCAGCCTGGCCAACATGGTGAAACCTCATCTCTACTGAAAATACAAAAATTAGCTGGGCGTGGTGGCACATGCCTGTAATCCCAGCTACTTGGGAGGCTGAGGCAGGAGAATCACTCGAACTTGAGAGATGGAGGTTGCAGTGAGCTGAGATCGTGCCTCCAGCCTGGGCAACAGAGTGAGACTCTATCTAAAAAAATAAAAGTTCAGATCCTACCGTTAAAACATTTTAATGTAGTGATGAACTAAATCAGATCAGACAGCACTGAAAAAGAACATCTTGTAAACTTTTAATGAAATTAGCTAAAAAAAAAAATTCAGATAGCACTGGATCTGAAAAAAAAAAAATTAGCTGTTATCAAAACTCATAAAAAGAAACTGAAGAAAATGAAGACTACAGACCACTATTACGAATATTGATACCAGTATTTTAAGTTAAATATTAGCAAACAGAACCTAGTATCATATTAAAATAAAATTCTATGAAGTAGGGTTTTTTAAGGGTTCTGTATTTAGTTCAGTATCTGGAAATCTATTAGTGTAATTGCTATACGAATTTTTCCTCTTGGAGCCTTTTATAATGACTCCAT